AAGGGACAGAAGACATTTCGTTTTTGCAATTTTCTAAGGCATCATTAATTTATTGACAATCAAATTAACATCTTTAGATTAGCATGTCCAATTAATCGTACATTCTTTTGCACTTTTTCACATAATAAGCAGAATCCTGATATTTACAATTGTCTATTTCTATCCCAACCACTCAAGCCTTTTAGATTGAATAATGCGTTCGACGGTTTTAAAGGAAATTGCGTGGATGGTCCATTCTGTATGTATATGTGTATAGCAAAAAATTTAGTAGTGACATATATTCATCGGTGCTGGTTCTGTTGTTTTTTCGATTGTCCTACTATTTACTTAGTTCACACTTAAGTCCACAGCTGCTACTCAAGCGTGCATAATATTATTACACTTCTCTATAATGCCGGCTACACTTTCTGCATTCTAATACTATCCGTTTAAAATACTTCTGAAATTTTCATTTTATTAATCTTGAAAGAATTTGATCCTAAATAATTAAAGCATGTTGACGCAGTTGGGAACCAAATATTATTAATAAATATGTTCATAGTAATGAAAAAAATTTATATTTCTCTAAAATACTCTTAAAATTTTTGCCTTTTATTCATTTTGTGTGAACCAGTTGAATTTTGCTGACTTTAGATACAGTAATGATCAATTTGTTTTCCAGAAAAATAATATTGCTTCCATTAGTATGTGAAGCTAACGTCCTTAATGTTAAGAGTTGTTATATAATTTGAACTACTTTTCCAGCCCATAAAAATAAGCATGCTAACTAACTCTATCTTAGTTATTATGCAAGGCCAGATTACTACCGCCTTCTTTGATCCCATTGTGGTCTGCATTATTCCAAATATTCCTCGCGTATGTTAATGGTTGATTCTGATCAGCCAAAGTGTATCACTTTCAAGCAATTGAAGAAGGATAGATTCTGTTTTTCCAATGGGCTAAAAAACGCTTTCAAAGAAGGGAAAGCTATAATGTCACGAAACTCGAGAAAGCAAATTGATCCTCGGTTTGACCCCGATATCCACGGTATTTGTGACTTGGGGAACTGGAGTTTTTTAGAAAAAGAAAGAGAAGACAATATCCGGGTGATTTATTTTGCCTTTTTGGCTAATTTTGTGGGTTATTTACTAGCTAAGGTAGATGTTCTTATCGTAATTGCTAAACTGTGACGCTAGACAACATTACCTTCCTAATTACAATCACGCTTACTTTTTGCTATTTTTCGCTATTTATGAAGTTATTCTACCGATTAAACGTATACTTACTAATTGCATATATTCGACCCCATGTTTAAGGAGTTTATCTTTCTTTTACCCAAATGATTAAAAAAATTATGCCATTTAAATTTCAGGCTGTTAGCAAATTATTGAAGCGTGGTGTTGATTCTGACACCGAAGCAAAGGCGCTGCGCGCTTTACGCCTGCTGAAGCAGAGAAAGGCTACCGACAAAGACGTAAAGTTCAGGCGCGAATTTATTGGTAGAATTCGAAAAGAGCAAGAAAAAGACCTTGTGTCAGGAAAACGAGTCACCTTTTTAAAAAGGGGTAGGTGAGCTATTTTCCTCTTAGTGCCTGATAGCCTTAATTTATTTTCGTATATAAGCGGGGTTTCGAGACTACCAGTAAATCAGTTGTTTGAGATGTATTCGCCCTATTTCGTTTAAGCTGATGAAGGAATGGTAGTATAATTTTCTCACACTTATGAGTAGAAATGATTTTTACATTGAATTTTGCATAGCTTTGCTTTCCAAAGGTTGTCCTTGTCCAGGCTGGACTGCAGTTTCCACTTCGCCTAGGTTTTCTTAACGCCCTTAGCGGGGCTTGAACCATGATAGTGCGTCATGCGAGCCTGACCCGTTAACTACTCAGCCACATTGCCACGAGTGCTTTTAGGCCACAACTTATATAACTGATTTGTTGGTAGTCTCCGAACTCTGTTTATACACTAAAATAAGTAATTAGTCTATTGTTATAGCAAAAATATGCTCGCTTCATCAAAAATGCCATTAAAGAATGTGATATTGGAAAAGGCCTGGCCTTAAAACTCACATCTGCTTTATGGCAA